GTACATCCTCTGCACATCTTGCTAGGTACCACTCACAAAGTTCAACTTTCCAGTCAGGATCATCTTCTTTGAGGGCGTGGACTAATGCCGGAATAAAACTTTTCCACTGAACGAGCTTCAAGATGCGATGAATGCTCGATTTTGAGATTCCTGTCTCACGGGCCGCTTGCCGAACAGATTTTATTGGAGATCGGTGGAGACTTTCCACTAGCCCTGCTTCTCTTGTAGGACTGGTGGACGACCGATGTCTTCCGGAACGCTCTTTATGGACGTCTTGAACAGTTCCATCTGCTTCAAACTTGTCTCTGATGCGAGTAATGGTGAGTCTCGTTGGTGGATCTGTTTGAAACTCCCTTCTAAACAGTCTTTGCACTTCAGCTACGTTCTCGCACATCCAGTAGCATTTTAGGATAAATTTCCTTTTCTCAAAGCTTAGTCTTGCTTCTGCCATTACTTCAAATCAGTTGCACCTGTAAAGAAAGAAAGTTTAAGTGGGTTATGGGCTCTAAGAGATTCAACACTTGTCTTCTTTAACTTGAATTATAAAACTTAGATATATCTTAATAAACATTGTATTTATAATCATTCAAAGTGTGTATACATTTTTTGGGACACCCTGTAGATAGAATGGCACCACTAGAGAGAGACAGTCATGAACTTAGTAAGAACTGTTTATTGAGAAAATTAAGTGCATTGCTTTTAAAAAGAGGTGGTACATATCGGTTTCCTGTCAGACCTTCCCATCTTCTTCAGTAATTCATAACTTGGATCTCCTCTTTCAAATCTCAGAACTCGTTGGTTGTCATAATGAATTGAGTTTGCTGTTACTGTTGAAAAAGCCATAGCAATCAAAAGGACAGGACCATAAATATGCCTTAAATTGATGTTATCAACTGAATGAAATTTGTGATTAAGTGCAAGCAGAAGAAAGAATTTTTCAAAGCATGATCAATATGTACTGAACTTAGGAAATTTTCTGTAACTTAGAAACAACATTTAAGGTTCTGATAAATGTAATACGAGTCTTTTTTTTTTAAATGAATATATGATGGTAATTTCATTGAAGTACATAGTAGCATGTGCAGGTCAAAATATGTACATGACATTATTCACAGTTAATTTACTCTGTTCATTTATCACCAATATATAATGTTGTAGACTAACTAACCTTGTAAAACAAAGCTGGAATTAATAAATTTTTAAGTTTAACAACGTACTGATCTTAGTACTTGTATAAGTTGACAATTAGTTAAAAGTTGTGGCTTTTACCGTATCTTGGTCTATTTGTAAACAATTTAGAATTACTGTTTTAAATAGTAGTTTTTGCTTTTTTTGTATAATTTGGATACAATATATCTAATTGAAACATTTTGCTATTTAACTAATATTTTATTAGTGAAATTATTGGAAGCTGACATTTTTAAAAGATTTTTTTTTTCTTGAGATGAAAATATTGTATTCGTAAATGATGTGTTAACTTAAAGATATTCTCTTTTATTCTTGGTATTCCATTGTGTAATATGATCTTTTTTTTTAAGTATCTCGAAATCCTTCAGTTTTAGTTCAACTGTATGCAAGAACAATTAGGATGAATGAATTATCTAAATTAATGTTCATCTTGTAATAAAAGAGTCAGGATTTAGTGATATCAGTTTATGTTCATATATAAATTTTAATGGAAGCAGTAATGAAGAATTAAACAATGGTTTTTAAAGAAGCGTTGTGGGGTGATTTTTTATTATCCTGTCTTTTAGCACTATTTTACAATTTGTGGGTGAATCTTTAACTTCTCAAAAGTAGTTTTATTCATTGGCCAAAATTTCTAAAATATTTTGTGTGTTTTGCATTGCAATGAGTCATAATAGTTTAGATCTAGTCATGTCTGTGGAAGGAGGATAGTTTATTTTGAACTCTGGTCTTATTTAAGCTTAATTTTATTTCAGGACAAAATGTGCAGAAAAGTTAATATCTGAGATGAAAATAAACTCAATAATTAGGAATGAATTTTCAACATTTCATGATGATATTGCACACTGTTGAACATGCATTTAATTTATTTATGGGTAATAAATGCATTATTGAAGAAAGGCGTTGTTGAAGAATGTTCCATTTTACAGATGGTTATCAACTCCTCGATGCTCACATAAGCTTTCTATTTTTAAAATTGTAATTTACCAGTAAAGACGTCCTTGATTTATTGCCACTTAGTTAATTAAGAAATAGTTTTCTGAACAATGAATTTTTAAGATTGAAAACTAAGTAGCACCAAATTATTTTGAATCATAATTTAGATCCAAAAAGGGTAAACTTTGATTAAAGCATTGTTTGTTTTTCCTTTTTTTTTCCTGAAATGACAAATGCAAATTTTTGTTTTCTTTTTCTAGTAGAATGAAATTTAAATGAAAATATGATGTTGAATAATTTAATATAAATTCAGTAATTACATATTAAATAATTTATATAAACTGTTATATGCTATGCCTTTTTTTTTTCCACATCACTGAATTATCTGTTTAGTTGAGCTGTTGGTGTCTGAAATTGTAAATTCAGTCTCCACTGTATGGAAGGACAAAGAATAATAAAGCGATAATTAATAAAAAAAACAGTTTAATGATTTAGTTTATTTATGAGCTAATGGATTAATATTCAGATAAGAATTGTATTAGGAAGATTATGGTAATTTTTCTCTCTTCAAGTGGCCCAGCATGGCCAGGTGGTTAGGGTGCTCGACTCACAATCTGAGGGTTGCAGGTTCCAGTCCCCGTCCCACCGAACATGCTTGCCCTTTCAGCCGTGGGGGCATTATTATGTTGCAGACAATCCCACTATTCGTTGGTAAAATATTAGCCCAAGAGTTGGTGGGGGGTGATGACTAGTTGCCCCTCTCGTCTTCTACTGCTAAATTAGGGACGGCTATCACAGATAGCCCTCATGTAGCTTTGCACGAAATTCAAAACAAACCTATTTTCAAAAAACTAAACTTAACATACTTTTATACAGGAGCAAAGCATAAGAAAATATTTGACATTATATGTATATGAGTGTGTGAGTGTAAAGTAAACTGTTTAAGGCATTCGTGGTACTTTCAAGACAATCCTAAATGCTAGGACTGTTTTTTTGTTTGTTTTTTGAAGAAATAATGTCTTTAGTCGATTATTATGTGTAGTAAATAATACAGTAGTTTCAGAGAAACAGATGAATAAATTGAGATAATAAAGTTATTTTTCTTGTTAAAGGATCAGAACACACTGATAAAGGAATATAAATAATTTTGCATTACATTAAGGGTTTAATGATATGTTTATTTTGAGTTGTCAAGTAGTGTCTTACTAGCAGCTGCTAGTGAGTTAACCCTTCACATCGGTAGGTAGAGCACCAGGTTGTCATGCAAGTTGCCCCAGGTTCAAATCCTGCTTGCTGGAAATATTGAAATTTGATTACCACAATAGAAACTGGGCCTTATCTCGTAGTCAACGTTATCTCAGTAGCTTGATTTGTTAGAAAATTGCCTTAATAGTACATACTAGCAAGTGGCTTTGGCCACAGCTTAAGGTTGGATTACTCTGCCTGGCATACGTATGGAAGTTGTATACAGATTATCCCACTTGGGCTCAGACTAGCCAGATCCCACACCACCACAACAATCCTTGGTCACCTCTGTTTCTTCCACACTGGGGTCAGTCCTCAGGGTAGGAACATGGACAGTTGTTTTGGATGAATCAGACATCAGGTGTTCTTTCTTAGTCATTGGCTGTAGTGAGATAAAATTCATGTACGTTCACAACATCAGCAAAAATCCTATACTTGTTAACTCTCAGACAACCATTTCCCCCTCAGTGACTGACTCTCAATCTTGGTCATAAGTCCTTCTAGTTGTCGAGAATGTCATTTCCTTTAACTAAGAAGCCTTTTTTAAATTTAAAGCACAAAAATTCATGTAAAAGACAGTTCATACATTAGCAGATATAACAAACAGCAAAATGATATCCTGCAGCCATTGCACCTTCCTCCTTCCTATTCACTCGTGGTAAAAATGAATCAATGTAAGACCAATGAAATAGATCTGCATGATAACAAGACATTCAACCAAGATACCGACCGATTATTAGGTAATGCCGAGTCTTCCAATAATTGAGTACTGAGGATAAATGAAATAAACGGACTAGACACAGGGTGAAACCTAAAATTAATGTTTATTATAAAAGAAGTAAGATAATCACAGTGTATGTGTGTGCTTGCTTTTAATACGAGATAATCACTTTTATTAGATCTTATTTCTTGAGTTGCTCAAGCTGAATCCATGTACCAAACTGTCTGAATCTAGCATTTCTTAGATCACAAGAAATGTGTTTTTTACCTAATGTGACTAGCGCTACCCTTGTGACTGGTCATTCTTATTCTAACATAGGTGAGGGCGTAATCTATAGATATCACCTGAAGTGCCATTATTAAAGGACTCTGATATAAACGTCCTTCCACAACTTGTAGTATTGTAGCAATATTTCTTGGACAGAACAGGTATCTGCTTGAGAATAACAAAGACAGCTCGAATGAAATCAGCTTAAGGTGTTATATGAAATTTGCAGTATTCAAGATAAATGTTAAAATCCGGATTAATTACAAAAAGACTGAAACGTGTGGTATATTCATATACCATATAAAAGCAAATAAGTATATCCATTTCAATGAGAATAAAAATAAATTACATAGTACAGTACTAGTTAAACGAAGTTTAACAAATTACGGGAGTTAAAGACAAAAACGGTTTTCTTTAGGTATATTTTAATAAGAGAATAAATTAAGAGTAGTTGATAACCCGTTAACGATTAATAGGGAAGTTAATTTACAGTGAAAGGCACTGACGTTGGAACAATTTTTAAACTAAGGTTACTGAAAACCATTCAACAAAACTGTAATCTCAATTCAATTGCATCGACGTGTACTTATCTTTTTTTTAACTATATTCCTTGCTACAACGTTTACAATAAGCTTACCATAAAAAGTTGAAACTTATAAGCTGCAAGGTAAATCAAGCTACCTAACACTAAAAAAGATTAACTTCAGTGCTGGAAACAAACATTTTCCTTAAGTTTATTTTGAATTTCGCGCAAAGCTACACGAGGGTTATCTGCGCTACCGTCTCTAATTTACAGTGTAAGACTAGAGTAGGGGTCACCAAACTACGGCCTGCGAGGTCAGTTCATCTGGCCCACCGCTGCACTGTGCCACAAATGAGCTAAAATATAATTATTTATATGGAAATATCATAGATTGTAGATGAACTTACTATGTAGAAAAATATAAAATAAGTGTAAGTAAAAATGTCCAAATTTGTCTAATCTGATTTTTGCATCTGACATTAATATAAGTTTTAGGAAAGTCAGTGAAATAAAAAATTCGGCGACTTTTTGCGACTTTGGATATCAGAGCGCTTTTGGTGTAAGTACTTGCACTGAGAGTTCATTCCTGCAGTCGCCCTCTCCATATATTGAGAGATAACTGAACTTCCAAGTATTTTTTCTCCATTTATTGAGAGATAACTGAACTTCCAAGTATTTTTCCTTATTAGTTGTTTCTCCATCTATTGAGAGATAACTGAACTTCCAAGTATTTTTTCTTAGTTTTTTCTCCATCTATTGAGAGATAACTGAACTTCCAAGTATTTTTTCTCCATCTATTGAGAGTTAATTGAACTTCCAAGTATTTTTTCTTAATTTTTTCTCCCTCTATTGAAAGATAACTGAACTTCCAAGTATTTTTTCTTAATTTTTCTCCCTCTATTGAAAGATAACTGAACTTCCAAGTATTTTTCCTTATTATTTCTTTTCCATCTATTGAGAGATAAATGAACTTCCAAGTATTTTTCTTAATTTTTCCTAACATAGATAGCACAGCTGAAAGTAAACATAATCATTTTTGGATTAATTTGGAGGCCAGCGAAGCTGGAACGGTTCCTCCTGGACGGTACAAGTACCCCGGAGCACTGGACCAACGTTTGGGGAGATTTCCAGAACCCATGCTTTCCAACTT